ATTGCTTTATGAGTGTTGAACCAGCTTTGCATCCCAGGGATAAATCCCACTTGGTCATGGTGAATAATCTTCTTAATGTACTGTTGGATCCTATTGGCTAGTATCTTGTTGAGAATTTTTGCATCTGTGTGCATCAGGGACATTGGTCTATGATTCTCCTTTTTGGTGGGGTCTTTGTCTGGTTTTGGCATTAAGGTGATGCTGGCCTCATAGAACGAGTTTGGAGGTACTCCATCTCTTTGTATCTTTTGGAACAGCTTTAGTAGAATAAGTATTGTTTCTTCTTTAAAGGTTTGACAGAATTCCCCTGGGAAGCCATCTGGCCCTGGACTTTTGTGTCTTGGGAGGTTTTTGATGACTCCTTCAATTTCCATCTTGGTTATCGGCCTGTTCAAATTCTCTATTTCTTCCTGTTCCAGTTTTGCTAGTTTGTGATTTTCGAGAAATGTGTCCATTTCTTCTAGATTGCCTAATTTATTGGCATATAGCTGCTCATAATAAGTTTTTAAAATCGTTTGTATTTCCTTGGTATTAGTGGTGATAGCTCCTTTTTCATTCGTGACTTTATTAATTTGAGTCTTTTCTCTTTTGTTTTTAATAAGGTTGGCTAATGGTTTATCTATCTTATTAATTCTTTCAAAGAACCAACTCCTGGTTTTGATGATCTGTTCCACAGTTCTTTGGGTCTCTGTTTCATTGAGTTCTGCTCGAATCTTTATTAATTCTCTTCTGCTGGGTGAAGGTTTTATTGCTGTTCCTTCTCCTTAGGTGCAAGGTTAGCTTCTGTATTTGAGTTCTTTCCAGTTTTTGGATGGATGCTTGTATTGCAATGTATTTCCCCCCAGGACTGCTTTTGCTGCATCCCAAAGATTTTGAACGGTTGTATCTTCATTCTCATTAGTTTCCATGAATCTTTTTAATTCTTCTCTAATTTCCTGGTTGACCCTATCATCTTTTAGCAAGATGGTCTTTAACCCCCACATGTTTTAAATCCTTCCAAAGTTCTTCTTGTGGTTTAGTTCTAGTTTCAATGCATTATGGTCTGAAAATATGCAGGGGTTGATCCCAATCTTTTGGTTTCAGTTAAGACCTGATTCGTGACCCAGTATGTGGTCTATTCTGGAGAAAGTTCCATATACACTTGAGAAGAATGTGTATTCAGTTGCATTTGGATGTAAAGTTCTGTAAATATCTCTGAATCCATCTGGTCCAGTGTCTCATTTAAAGCTCTTGTTTCTTTGGAGATGTTTGTATTGATAGAAGGTGTATTGATTGTAGAAAGTGCCGCGTTCAAGTCTCCAAGTATAAGTGTATTATTATCTAAGTATGTCTTAACTTTGGTTATTAATTAATTGATATACTTGGCAGCTTCTGCATTCGGGACATAAATATGCATGATTGTTAGGACCTCTTGTTGGATATATCCTTTAAGTATGATACAGTGTCCCTCTTCATCTCTTAACTACAGTCTTTGGGATAAACTTTAATTTATCTGATATGAGGATGGCTACCCCTGCTTTCTTTTGAGGACCATTAGAATGGCAAATGGTTCTCCAACATTTCATTTTCAGGCTGTAGGTGTCCTTAGGTCTAAAATGAGTCTCTTGTAGACAGCAAATAGATGGGTCTTGCTTGTTTATCCAGTTTGAAACCCTGCGTCTTTTGATGGGATCATTAAGCCCTTTCATGTTCAGAGTTACTATTGAAAGATATGAATTTAGTGTCATCATCATACCTATTCAGTCCCTGTTTTTGTGGATTGTTTCCTTGGACTTCCTCTTTCTTTGACAGAGTCCCCTTTAATATTTCTTGCAGAACTGGTTTGGTGGCCACATATTCTTTCAGTTTCTGTCTATCTTGGAAGCTCTTTATCTCTCCTTCTATTCTGAATGAGAGCCTTGCTGGATAGAATATTCTTGGCTGCAGGTTATTCTCATTTAGGACCCTGAATATATCCTGCCAGTCCTTTCTGGCCTGCCAGGTCTCTGTGGAGAGGTCTGCTGTTAATTTAATACTTCTCCCCATAAAGGTTAGGGATCTCTTGTCTCTTGCTGCTTTAAGGATCTTCTCTTTGTCTTTGGAATTTGCAAGTTTCACTAGTAAATGTCAAGGTGTTGAACGGTTTTTATTGATTTTAGGGGGGATCTCTCTATTTCCTGGATCTGAATGCCTGTTTCCCTCCCAAATTATGAGGTTCTTAGCTATGATTTGTTCAAATACACTTTCTGTTAAAACAAACAAACAAACAAACAAACAAATACACTTTCTGGTCCTCTGTTTCGACGCCTTCTGGAACCCCAATTAAATGTATATTTTTCCTACTGAGGCTGTCATTTATTTTCCTAAACCTTTCCTCATGATATTTTAACTATTTTTCTCTTTTTTTCTCAGCTTCCTTCCTTGCCATCAAATTGTCTTCTGTGTCACTCACTCGTTCTTCTACCCCGTTAACCCTTGTTGTTAGGACCTCCAGTTTGGATTGCATCTCATTTAATTGATTTTTAATTTTGGCCTGATTAGATCTAAATTCTGCAGTCATGAAGTCTCTTGAATCCTTTATGCTTTTTTCTAGAGCCACCAGTAGCTTTATAATTGTGCTTCTGAATTGGCTTTCTTACATGCAAATGGAATTCAAATTCTGTAACTCTGTGGGAGAGAGTGTTGTTTCTGATTCTTTCTTTTGTGGTGAGTTCTTCCTTCTAGTCATTTTGCTCAGTGCAGAGTGGCCAAAACCAAGTTGTACTGGAAAAAGGAGAAAAAGAGGGAAAAAAAAAGGGGGGGGGACAAACAACAAAATACAAGGAGGGGTGCCCTCTACTTCTCCTGGAACCTTCCAGCGCTGCTTGGTCAAGAACTTGCTTTTCCCCTGTCCTTCCAGCTGGTCTTCTGGGGGAGGGGCCTGCTGTGCTGATTCTCAGGTGTGTGAACCTGGGGGAGCTATCCTGCCCCCTGCAAGGTGCATGGCTCAGTGGGAGAGGGTTATCCTGTGAGGCCCTGCTCAGGCCCAGGTACAAGGTGACACCAGGAGGAACAACAACAGTGGCGGAGGCCAGGTCTCCAGACCGAGAGTCAACTCCTGCAGGAACTACCACAGCTCCCAGTCCACAGGGGCCTGGATACTCCCGGGGTGGGGGGCGCTGATTTGCACAGCTTGGGGCTGCCGGGCAGCAGGAGCATCCTTGCTGCCCTGTGTCCTTCCGACTTCCACCTGTGGTGGGGTGGGGTGGGGTGGGGGGAGCGCCGGATCCTGGGCTGTGTCCCCCGGCGCCCTGGGCTCCGGGGCCTGCACCGCTGGAATTGTGCTCCTGGGGCCGCGCAGCCCTCTCTGCGCAGAGCTGCTGCCAGAGCTGCTCCCGGGGCCCCGCCAGGTGCACGCTCGAGCCCTTTAGGGAGCTCGGCCGTGGGGTGTGGCGCGCTCTCCCCGGGGCGCAGGTGTCTGTTGGTGCCCCTGGGAGCCTGAGGGCATCCCCGCCCCTCCTGGGATCCTGCCCAAGGTCCCCGCGAGCGCCTTTCCTTCTGGGAAGGTTGGTGCAGCTCCTGCTTCTACTGGACGGGGCTCTCCTGTCCTGGGGACACTCACCACAGCCTTAGCCCGGCTCCTCGCTGGGGGCCCTCCCCCTTGGATGCTTTTTTGTTTATTTTTTTCTGTCTTCCTACTTTGATAGAAGCGGGAACTCTTCTCACTGTAGCATTCCAGCTGTTCTCTCTTTAAATCTCAGACCGAATCCGTAGGTTTTCAGGATGATTTGAAAGTTATCTTGGTAGGTTGATGGGGACAGGTGACGTGGGGACCCTACTCTTCCACCATCTTGCCCCGCCTTCTCTTATTTCTTTAAATAAGAATCTGGGAGATCCCTGGGTGGCTCAGCGGTTTAGCACCTGCCTTTGGTACAGGGCATGATCCTGTAGTCCTGGGATCGAGTCCCGCATTGGGCTCCCTACATGGAGCCTGCTTCTCCCTTTGCCTATGTCTCTGCATCTCTCTGTGTGTCTCTCATGAATAAATAAATAAAATTGTAAAAAAAAGAATGAATTATTTTAGTAAACCCATTTGGTATACCACAAATATATCTCAGGTAAAAGATTTATTGAGTAAGTGGAAGTCAAAGAATAAAAAACATTTGAAAAATTTCTTCCTTCCCTCATACTTTCCCTCTCATCTTCCAGATCATAACACAAAGCCATAATCAAGCTTTCTGCACTCAAGGGATTAATATTGTAATATAGTGATTTCAAAGTGTGGTGCCTGAACTAGCATCATTAGCATCACTTGGAAACTTAGAAATGTGATTCTTGGGTCTCAACCCAACTTACTGAAATAAACTCTGGAGGGGAGGCCCAGCAGTTGATGTCTTTAGAAGTCCTCTAGAGGATTCTCACACAAGTTAAAGAGCCTGGGCTGTAGTAGACACTGCTGCTACAGGCTTGATTCCCTTTATCACTGGTACAGTCATCTGAGTACCTGTGAGCAACTAACAGCCCACAACTGCAACCTCCAATTGTCCTTGATTGAACCACCTTGTCCAGACATGGAGATCCCTTGGAGGTATACCACAGTCTCCACTCTAGAGCCTGGCCAACATCTGTCTGATATGGGGACACAAAGCCCAGTCTTTCAGGACAACTCTATAGTAAGGTGTTCTCCAGAGCTCTTCCGTGAAATCACGCCATAGACTTCACTACATCCTTGCTCATCTCCTTGCCATTCCTAGTCTTGCTTCCCCACTTCCTTGTAAAGAGTCCTCCCTCAGTATAGCACGTGCACCCAAACAAAGTCTTGTCTCAGGCTCTGTTTCTAGGACAACTATTCACCTTCATTTACAGGTTAGAATACTGTGGCCTACAGTCCAGCACCAGTTTGTGCAAATAAAGTTTTAGTGGAAAATATCGATACCTGTTCATTTACACATTGCCTGTGGCTATAATAGCAGACCTAAATAGTTGTGACAGAGGCAGTGGATAGTTCACAAAACCTACAATATTCAGGATGCTGCTGGTAGGCCACGGGCTGAGGCGCTGGTGTTGGGACGTGGGGCCCGAGCCTCCGCTGGGCTCCCCTTGGGTGCCGAGATGCCTAAGAAGGCTGGTGTGATGAACAAGGGGAAGAGCCAGGAGCCAGAGAGACCACCTCCTTCCTTAGGTCCTGTGACGGTGGATCCCAGAGGTAGTGTCACCATAGCCATCCGCACCAAGTCAGGGTCCAAACAAAATGCTGTGACAGACGTGACAATGGAAGCCATGAGCGTGGCCATCGCAGCTCCCCCATCAGAAGGAGAGGCTAATGCCAAACTCTGTCAGTACCTTCCCAAGGTGCTCAGGAAGCTCAGGAAGAGTGATGTAATTTTGGATAAGGGCGGTAAATCTCATGAAAACGTGGTGAGGCTATTAGCATCCACAACTGCTGAAGAGATCTTGGAGAAATTAAAGCAACAAGTTGAGAAGAAATAAAAACAAGTTATAAGAAATACATCCTTGGGGGATCCCTGGGTGGCGCAGTGGTTTAGCGTCTGCCTTTGACCCAGGACGCGATCCTGGAGACCCAGGATCGAATCCCACGTCGGGCTCCTGGTGCATGGAGCCTGCTTCCCCCTCTGCCTGTGTCTCTGCCCCCCCACCCCGTGACTATCATAAAAAAAAGAAAGAAATACATCCTTGAGAAGCTTTTTAAATTGCTACTAGTGAAGAGGCTGTTAAGTAGGAAAATATATTTCAGTTCATGGAAGAATATGAAAAAAAATTTAAGAATAGGACTCAAAAAAGAAGCAGGAATTTTAAAAGTACTTATGTTCAATTCAGGTTCTAACATCCCTGACCCCAAACAGGTTGGAACATTAGTCCGATCTCATCGCATTACACAGGAACAGCTGGAAGAGATATTCAAGCCCCTTTCATCCTTTGGTGGGGCTTCCAGAAGTTGAGAGACTTGTTCAGGATGACATCGTACAGGATGGCAGCTAGAACCAAGGCCCCTTGACTCCTGGCTGAATGCAGTTTATCCTGATTGTAAATGAATATTATTTCCACAGCACTTCTAGTGTTCTGAGGATTCCCTTCTCTAGAGTTTACAAGTGACAGAAGAAAACCTGTCACACTGCTTTATGGTCTTACTTTATATTTTAAAAAGCTTATCTAAATAAAAACTTTTTGTGTCTTTTTAAAACTCTATGGAGCATTTTGTGAAAAATAATAATCAGGACTTGTAATTTAATGTTAAGTATTTTGGGGAAGTCACTGAATTTTTGTCCTCATTGGATTGTAACTTACAGTCTTCAAATCTGGTAGTTCTTAGGACTCTCCAAAGATCCTTAAAGGAAGAAGGCCTGGAAGCTAATTTCAGTATTTGTAAAAGCCTGTCAGAAATCATATCTACATTAAAGCTTCAGAAGCTAATAATAAATACCTTGTTTTTAAATTTAAAAAAAAACCTACAATATTCACTATTTTGCTCTTTAAGGGAAAGTTTGTTGATACCTACCTAATGCATTAGCTAGGGTCAGATGGATGAAAGCAAAAAGTGAACAAAAGGCCTCTGTGTATTAAACATGTGTTATAAGCAGAGATGTGCTGGAACCAATTGTGGAATTGTTTCTTTCCAGCTCTACGTGTGACATCCTGTTGGTAGCTTGAAATGAGCTAGGATAGAAATATTCCCACTATGGAAATTGGCAAGTTCTGTAAATCAGATACTTTTTTCTCCTGGAGTTCCAGGTGTTGAGTATTTACTAGCACATCACTGGTTATAAGCCAGATGCCTTATACACTTTAGAATGGTACAAAAAAAAATCAGGATGCTCTGATAGAAAATAAAAGAGGATTGAGATCTCTCAAGTGTATGTGAAAGCACTTATAAAGAGTCACTTTAGTTCGTTTGGTTGACCTTCAGAAAATCTTTTTCTCGTGGGCACACATGATGTTTGGGTTCTGTCTCCATGCTCTGTTTTTTGTTTTTATACTAGTCTCTGCTATTTACTAAATTTCCTCTGAGATAGGGCACTCCCTCAACTTTCTTTATTGGGTTGCTTCATTGTTGTCTTGTGGTCAACCACAGCTTTCCTAATTCTCTTGGGCATAACTTTGGTCTCAGCACTTCAAGAATTTATACAAGTCTAAAATTTTGTTATGCCTAAAAACTCCAATTTTCAGAAGTCTCTTATGGTCTAAAAGAGTGGCTAAAGGGCTCTATCTGGTTAGCACTTTGAGTTTGACAGTGTTAGAGAGTCTTCCATTCTTCTAAAATAGGAGAGAGAGAGAAGAGTGGGGTTCACAATTGTTTCTTCCAGGAGAATGTGGTATCCAGCCCATAAGATGACCACCAGTGGTCCCTGTTTTCTATTATGTATGCTCTGTGTAATTCCCTCCTGTGTGAATCAAGATGCCCAGTGTAACCAGTGAGGTATCGCAGAAATGACAGTGCATGACTTCCAAGGATACATCATAAAAGATAGTGGCTTATCCCTTGGATCACTCATTCTTAGAGAATCCAGCTACCATGTTGTGAGGATACAGCAGGTAATTGGAGAGAAACTGAGACCTCTTCACCAATAACCAGCCCCATAGAAGTAAATCCTCTAGTTCCAGTCAAGCCTTCAAATGACTAAAACCTAACCCTGCTAAGTTGTTCTTGAATTCCTGATCCTAGAAACCATCTCCATAAAAATGTGAGATAATAAATACAGTTAGGTTAAGCTGCCATGTTTTAGGGTTATTTGTGATGGAGCAATAAATAATTAATACATGAAAAGTTTATCCCCTTCAGTGGTGGTTCATGAGCAATCAGAATTTGAATTTATCATCCAAGTTTGTAAGCTAGTACATCCCAACAGACTTTGGAGAAAAAGATAATTTCTACTCTCATATGCTTGCATAACTGTTTTTGACTCAATAGCCAAGTAAACACATTAACTTCTGAATCCTCCGATATGTATTACTGCCTCACTGCCAAACAGAGCTTAGTAATGTGCCAACCTACCACACCAGGTCATAGATAGTAATTTTGCTTAATGACTCTGGCTCGTATTGATTTTTTAAAAATCATATATTCTTTTTGTAGTTGAATCATCTGGAAATGACTTTCCTAGCACTGTAGTCATGACAGACATTTATGACAGCTAAAATGCCCCATGAGTAGGTAATGCTGTAGCAAGCTCTTTGTTCCCAAGGCTACATCTTCAAATTTGGCCTAGATAATAAATTGTCCTGTGTTTTCGAGAAGACAACAGGTGTATTCAAAACTCAGTGTGTTTGGGCTTTTATCTGATTCATTGAATACACAATTGATTTTCTACCTTTGCTGAATTGCTACTGAAGTTACAACTAATTTTTTTCCTACTTATCATGTTCTGTACATTTTTTTAATCCTAAATTGACTCTTGTCCTTAAATGGAATTTTAACTCTGCATGTTTTTTTTTCTTTCAAAACTAAAACATAAAGACACTGAAGTTCTTTGAAGCAATGTTTAATGCATAAAAATTATTAATCATTTTTCATTTTCTGTTTAGAGAGTATATTATTTTTTGCTTCATAGGTGTTAGCTTTTATCCACTGTGTAGAGTCTCTGGTATAGGATGCAATTTTCATGTATGATTGTAGCCATGAAAAAGTCTCCAATCACATATGATCCCCAGATACAAAAATTCTTAGAGCAACACCACCAATTTGGCACTTGAGAAATTTTATTATACTGTCTCCTAGGCAGAGGTTCTATCTGGCAAAAGTTGGCAGGAAAACCTGTCTTTGCCATCTTTTTCTTTATGCTCATCTCCAGTCCTCTCTCATCCCTTCCTGCTTTTCTTCCTTCTTCCTCATGGTCCCTTCTTTCACATCGCCCCCACAGCTCCAGCCCAGGCCTCATTGGAACCCCTGCTCCATACCTTTTGCCCTTGTCTCCAAATCAAATTCTTCCTGCCTTAGCACTGTGGTTTGCAAATGCTTTTTATAATGACTTACATGCTCCTTCAGTAGACAGATAAAAGCAATGTTGTCTTATGTGCTTATTAGCAATTTCCAATTCATTAGATTTACTTACTAAATTCAACTAGGAGGTTATTAAGGATGTTGCCTGAATGCTGGTGCAAAGTTAGGGCCTACTGGTAGGAGTTTGGAGTCTTATACCAACCTTATGTAGTTTCTCTCATTTTCTAAAATATATATTTTTTTAATTTATTTATGATAGTCACAGAGAGAGAGAGAGAGAGAGAGAGAGAGAGAGAGAGGCAGAGACATAGGCAGAGGGAGAAGCAGGCTCCATGCACCGGGAGCCCGATGTGGGATTCGATCCCGGGTCTCCAGGATCGCGCCCTGGGCCAAAGGCCGGCGCCAAACCGCTGCGCCACCCAGGGATCCCTAAAATATTTTTTTTGTATGTAGAATTAAAATCCTGACTCAAACAAGTTGTGGCAAATGGTAACAAGTTTAATAATTCATTTTGAAATAGCAGAATATACTTCAAACAAACATATCCACAAATTTGAAAATGGCATAAAATAACATTTTGTTTCAAAATAGAATTATTTAAAATATCTAATGATCTAATTATTTTAATATCAATCATTCATTTTAGCATTCCTTTTAGAACAATGGAAAATACTTTTCAGGCAATGACCTAAGATATTCAGCAGTCTCACTTAAAAAATACTCAATGCTCATCTCTGCAGCAATGCGCTCAAAATTTCAGAAGAGTTCATCTTTTTTTCCTGACATCCTGTTTGATGCTCCCCATACCAGATGATCTTCTTCAAGGCCAGATGGAGTTCATTCAACTTAGGGAAATGAAGAATCCAGCAAAGCATGCAAGGTTGGGCAGCCATGTTAACTGGTGGTGCTAATTAGCTATTGGAATCTCTTTATACTTCAGGAATCAGTGACTCCATCCAACTGATAGCTTTGTTAATGTGGAGTCAAGTACACTGGTTGACTTCAAAGGATTTGCCTTCATTTTGCTCTTAAGTGTCCTTCCACCTGGGGTAGCCAGTGTCCAGCTCCAGGTCAAAGAAGAATCAATGAAGTGGGGGAACCCTGGGATTCATTCTCTTCCTCCTTTCTACAACTTCCTTATTCCCACCCTTTCATCTGGCATGGCTCTTCCTCTCATCCACATCCATTAAGTCTTCTTGGCCATGTGAGGTTCCACCTTGTTTGACTTACTGTATACAGTAGGTCATCCAGGTAAACTTACTACAAGAAACAGTGCATCCATGTGTACACACAAGGCAATGCCTTCTTATGCTCTCTTCATACTTTATAGGTAGAGATATACAGGATGTATTATTTCAACAGAAATAATCTTATGAACCCTTTACCTTAGGGCTGCCTATAAATGCCTATGTGTAATGATAAAATCGGGGTATCATCATTTGTGTTTTTTCAGAGAACTCACAAAAATCTAACTGGAAGGCCACCTTGTCATAAAAATGACAACATTGGCACTGTCGTTCAAACGCTCTTGACA